GCTTCTGCAGAGGAAGCAGTTCATTTTTTAACCAGCAGATGGAGCTGTACAACACAAAAACTAAGAAATGTGTTACACCTTGACGCCTCATCTCCGAGTCACTAGTGTTTTTAAGTCTAGTCTTAGGACCAACTTTTATTCTCTGGCTTTTAAGACCACGCGAGTTGAGTTGTCCTGTTTAATTTTGTGTTTCAATTTTGTCATATTTTTTAGATTTATGCATTTTAACAGTTTATGATTTACTCTTATCGTCTTAATTTGTCTGTGCAGCACTTTGAAAACTGTCATGTTTATAAAATGAGCTGTAAAAGATGTGAAGTGGACTGGACAAGAAAGTGTGATTTAGGAGCGTTTAGAGACAGAAGTAGTCGTGGTGGAATGAGGCGAATTCAGCTTCTCCCTGTCAAAGCCAAGAAGGACAGAGGCCGGTTGGTCATTTACATTTTTTATTAAATCTGTCAGGGGTTTAGACCGTCTCCTGGATGGGGGGCTCGTAGCCGTCAGCCCTCTCCACCTTCGCTCCGGCGTCGTCACCAGCGCCTTTCGTGGCGCCGCCGGCTCCGCCCTCGCCGTGGAGCTCCATCAGTTTGCCCACTGGAAGAACAGACACGGTTACGTTTACAGCAAAAAAGAAATGATCGATACAGCAAAATAAGAGTGTTTGAAAAGGGGAACGTCAGCTGATCTCATGTAAAGTAATCAGCAGATCATATGGGACCGAAACAGTTTGTCATCATGTGTTCCCAAAAGTGAAAAGGAGATGCACAGATACAGATTTTCCAGTTACGATACTTTGACTTCAAGTATTGACCGATATTGGAGATAAAAAAATTGCACTTTTGGCACTTACAGACACCCATTAGTGTAATTTAACTGTCATTTATCCTTCACGTTTCACAGTTTTGTATGATTAAAATCTCAAATATTCTGAACGAAATCAGCCTGTAAATTGTTATTTACATTTCTCCATTTTATTTTTTCCTTATAGACTTTCACATTTATATAATTAAGCCTCATTTGACACCAGTCTCTTGCCATTTTTGATACTTATTTTGAATTATTACCATTTATATATATTTTTCCAATTATATATTGTGATGTGTGAGCTTCAATTTCCGTTGTGAATCCATAAAGTTTGTAGCCAGGCTGGCGCCACCTCGTGCCTCCGATCAATTTCATTTTTAGCTCAGGAATCAGAATACACTAGACGGTTCGCAAAAACCCCGAAAGTGCGAATTTGAGCACCAGACAATCAGCGAAGAAACAGACATTCTGTGTTGGCGACGATTCCCGAGATCGAGGATTTAAAGCCGGAACAAAGAGAATGTTTGGTGAATTTTATCAAGGGGAAAGATGTTATTGTCCTTCTTTCTACAGGATTTGGGAAAAGTTTAATTTCCCAGTTAGCCCCGTTAGCGGTGCATTACATACGTCACGACCAAACAGCAGTGATTGGTTAAATGAGAAACGATGGGCGGGTCCTACTGTCGAGGGAACGAATCCAAATGCTGCGAGGTCAGACGGTTTCTACGAAGTGAAACTGGCTGATGAATCAGGCTCTAAAGTTTGACCAATAAAATAAAGTCTCTTATTATTCAATTAAAAGCTGCACTATGTAACTTTTCGGTTAAGACTCCGTCACTGTTTCTACAGAGACGTCGTTGCTCTGCTTGGAATGTTCCACAGTGCGACATTAAACAGCTCTGTGTTACATTTACTCAATTACAGGTGGTTTTATAGCTCAAAAACACAAAGATATGGACTTGGTGGGATCGCCTCTCCACAGATCTGACCTGTAACTTTGTCTGGTTTCGTTTCTGTGACGCTATGAACGTTTAATGCCATACTGTGAAACATTCCAGACAAAGCAAACGCATCTCGAAAAGCATTTGACGCAGCCTCCACCAGAAAAGTGATCGTTTTTGTTTTTAGTTTTGGCACTAATATTCAATACCAGCGTCTGTATCTGTGCATCCCTGGTTAAAAAACAAAATTAAAAAAGTTAAAGACAGATTTAATGTCGACTTACATTCAAACTTGGGCTTCTTGAGCATTTTGACCTTGCGCACGTAGACGTCGTGCAGAGGGTAGATGGACTGGCACGCCTTCTCAATGTCTTTGCCAACACTGTCTGGGATCCTGAAAAAAAAAAAACGGCAAATTTACAAACGGTTAACTCAAGAAGGACAAACAAAAGAATTTAAACTTTAAGCTGCACTGTGTAACCTTTAACTCCACGGAGATGTGACTAGAATGTTCCACAGTATCACCATAAACTGAAGAACCTCAATGGAGACTCACAAATTAAGCTAAAGGTTAGATTTGTGGAGGTTTTTATTACCTCCGCCAACGAGGTTATGTTTTTGCCAGCGTTTGTCTGTTAGCAACATAACTCAAAAAGTTATGGACCGATTTTGATGAAATTTTCAGAATTTGTTGGAAATGTGAAAAGGAAGAACTGATTTCATTTTGGTGGTGATCCGGAAGAAATCCCGGATTCTGGATCACTTTGAAATTTTAGTTAACATTGTGGTAAACGGGGCCAAAAATTTTGTTTCTCAATATCTCGGTTAATTATTGACCAAACCCCATGAAATTTGACTCAGGGATGGACAATGGGATCCTCTTTCATATTCCAAAGGCTGATCCGGATCTGATCCAGAAGACTGATTTTATCGCAATTTATATAAAAAAATGGGGGTAGTCCTTGGCGGAGGTCTGCGCTCTCTGACTGCTTTTCTAGTTTTTATTGTGTTTATTTTAAAGAGCTATAAACACCACTTGTAGTTGAATAAATGTAAAATACTACTTCATTATTGTACTAAACTAACACCTCCATGGAGACCAACAGGATTGTGGACCCTGTCCAAAAAAATACACAATGCAGCTTTCAAAGGGGTGTAGTAAAATATCAATATATCATAAGAGTATTGTTATCATGGAGTACTGATATCGTATATTTGGTTTATTTTACAAAATTTTGTGATAGTGCTACAATTTTGATGTTTGTTCCAAGAAAGGAATGTTTTTTGTTTTTATGTGATACACTTCATATTCACTGTTTTAAAAGAGCCTATATTACATTTATTTCTAAGGGTGTAAGAATAACCAAAATATCGTGATATCGTATCGTCAAAAGTCGCTCAATAATATCGTGGGACATCACAATATATTGAATCACAAGTTTCTTCGCTTAAATTCATTGTTGTGGTGCAGCAACAGCTAAAAAACAGAGGGAACTACATAGACCATGATCCTTTGCTCCATTTTGGTGAAAACTACATGAAGAAATAACAGTTCTAACACTTTTAAGTCTTAGTTCTTTGGATTAAGTCTTGTCAAGGCATTTTAAGAAGAAAAAGTCGCATATTCACAATTTCGTTCTCCACAAAACATCGCAATAAATATCGTACCGTGAGATTTGGATATCGTTACATTCCGACTTATTCCTGATCCATGTTGTTTCCTCGTCACAAACAGACCTGGACTTGTGTTTTGGTTCATTCCCACATGTTTAACACACAAACCCTGCACATTAAGGAGTTCTCTCAAATTGAAAAGAAAAAAAAAAAAAAAAAAACTGTTCCACATTGTGATGTCATGTGGTGATACGGGAAGTGCTTATTTATACTCCATGCGGTCACAAGAATTATCTGGGTAATTTCCTCCCTAGGTGTGCAAAAATATTGAAATATCGATATATCGTATTGTTTAATGTGATACAGTATCGACATCGTGGGCTGCTGCATCGATAAATCGCCAAGAGTATTTTGTGGTTTATTTTACAAAATATTTGTTAGAGCTACTTTTTTGTAATTTGTTTTGAGGAAAGAAAATTGTTAATGCGACACATTTGACATTTTCACTGTTCTGATGATTAAAATGTTTGCGTTTCATATGAACTTTGCACAAGAAGTGATTTAACAAAGACTTTTAGAATCACAGACATGATTTATTCATATTTTACTTAACCGTACTGAATCATTTCAAACTATCGTATTGAATAGAATCAACTCGAAATCTCACTGTATTGAGAAGCTATCATGTTGTGGCCCATGTATCGAGGTGTGTATCGTATCGGCAACTTCTTAATGATGCCCAGCCCTATTCAGTACTGGAACTGACAATCTCTAAAGGCAAAAGGAACTGTTAACTTGAAAACTACAAGTCCACAAAACTACAAATCACAAGGTGGAACAGCATTTTGAGATTTGGATATGTAGACAGAGTTCCTCAAGCATGTGTGAATGAAACAAAACAAGTCCAGGTCTATTTTTGAGGAGGAAACAACACGACTTATTACACAAAATGGATTCTTGTGAACTGTACGACCTTCATATTGAGTTTGCACAGGTAGTGGTTTTAAGAAATACTGTTAAAATGCATTTGATTGTTAAAAATAAGCGATATTTTGCAGAATATTGTGTGATCCCTCAATTATCTCTAGGGACCCTGCGATTCCAGCCCCAGGACTTACAGCTTGTTGACCACTTCCTTGAGGTCGTTGGTCTGGACCTCGCGGGTCATGATCTCCATCATCTTCTTGCGGATCTGGCGGACCTGCTGGTGCTGGGCGTACGAGGTCTTTCTGATCTGGTTGGTGCGTTTCTTTGTGAATCCGACGCAGAAGAGGCGCAGGAGGTACCCGTCTGTGGTCTTCACGTCCACATGGGCTTCGATCATGGTCTGGACACAGGAGATGGTTACGGTTATTATTCTGCTGCTGCTTTTGGACAGGTTTGTGCTTGTTTCTTTGTAGACCTCACTGGGCCACAGGTGCACTGGAGGAAAAGCACTTGGCTAAAAACATTTTCAAGAAACTGCCGCACACTGTTCCACTCTTGGTTCACTTTTATTTGTATTAATAAAACTGACTTTCCTCAGGTTTAGAGGGGCTAAAACATACAAAAACTAAACCAACATTGAAAGAGTGCGTGAGTTTTCCTGAAAATTTTAAAGTTTCCTGATAGGTTAGTGCTAAATACAGAAGTGATTGCGTAGCTTTAGAGTTTCCATGGTAACCTGGCAGCTTCTTGCTATGAACAGGTCCTTAAGAGTTTTATTTTTGACTGTTTTAAAGTTTTATTTATGGCAAACATTAAGATAAGGCTAGTAAATGACAAATTTTGGTTTGTAAATGACTTCTCATCTGTTTACCACCCCAAACCCATCTCCTAATTTAACCCTGTTCTAAATTCCAATAATGGTAGATTACCCGGTCATTCTAGGATTAACTTTTTTTTGTAAACACATCAAATACTGTTGGGTCAGCTAGAATCTTAATTTATGGAAGGGGTCTCCAACCTGTAGCTCGGGAACCGTGAGTAGCTCTCCAAAGAATTTTTGAATTATAACTTTTGTGCTGAATAACTAAAATTTGTTTAATATGACTATTAAAATTGTAAAAATATCACGTTCATGCCTGACTTCACTTTCTGCACTAATGGATAATGGTTTATGTTTTACAGGCGTCTAACTGTTCCTTATCAAAGGCAGTGACGTTTATATTTACTCAATTTCTTGCGACCGCCAAAATGAGTAGTTCTCTGGCATTTTCGTTTTGTAAAAGGAGCACACTGGAGGAAAAAAGCTTTGAGACTCCTGGTTTATGGAATCCGTTTTGGAGAAATCAGTTTGGACGAGCAATATAGACAATAAAAAATAAAAATCATAAAGCGAAATGTGGGCTTTAAAACGGGGGTGCAATTCAAACTGGAAAATTTGAAGAATGGGTCAAAATAG